TTTTTTTTTTTTTAATTACGTTGGCCTATTTTCGGTAAGATCACAAGGCAAAAGCGAGACATAAACTATGAATCTTTTTTGCTGCAGTGATTAAACCCACGGATTAAAAGCTCAATTATTTTTTCAGATGTATATTGTTAGTGAAAGAACGGGGATTAGCCTGCAAGAAATATTGATTACTTAATTAAAAAAAAAAAAAACCTGAAACAGATTTGTTATCAAACAAACAAAAAGCCTTTTAAAACAATTTAAAATGAGGTAGCTGAGATAACTTCACCTGACATTTGAACTGAACACCGCGCCAAATTAAAAGCTATAAAATGGAATTAACATAAAAGCATTTCTAACTGATAACATGATAAGGCTTAAAGAACTCATACAAAATTTAAAATAGCTTTGGGATATAAAGGAAGACATTTAGCCTGTTTTTGGTCCCATGGTTTTAGGTTCCCTTATTGGGCTGCAATTTTTAATATAATTAGACCATCATCATAAAATGTATTGTTCCCAACGCCAAGTTAAAAGAAGAAAAGCCGATATTATAAAACATTAACAAATCAGTAAATAGTTAAATAAATGCAACAGCCTTGATTGTATCTCAGTTCTCTGTGATTGCCTATTTGGTAGATGCGATATCACGCTGAAAGGTCGGTTGATATCGGAGCTGATATATTTAAGCAATAGAGCACCTTTTCTGTGTTTACATAGCCTCATCTAAGCATGACAAAAACTGGCTTTGAATTCGGCAAAAACCGGTTTTGAGATCGGCAAAACCAGTTTGGAAATAGGCAAAAACCGGTTTTGAGATGGGCAAAAACTTAAACCAGTTTCAGGGTGGACAAAAACCACTTTTAAGATTGGCAAAAACCGGTTTTCAGTTTGGCAGACACTGATATAGTTTTAAATCAGTTCAGTTCAGGGTGGACAAAAACCTTTTTTGAGATTGGCAAAACCAGTTTTGGGTGGGCAAAAACCGGTTTTTAAATAGGCAAAAACTGTTTTCAGGGTAGACAAAACCGGTTATGAGATCAGCAATAACCGGTTTTGGGTGGAGAAAAACCAGTTTTGAGTTCGGCAAAAACTGGTTTTGAGATGAAAACGTCCAACACAGAGCCAAAAAAGCAGCAAAGAAAGCCATTTTTGAGTTTTCGTGAATGTGTGTCGCTTACGTTTAGAGCTCATTACTTAAATTTATTTCAAGCCGTGCGTTTCTTTTACATTAACATCAATTTTTGTTGCATAACAAACATTTTTGGCCAAAATCCAACCGTGTTGGATGCAATATTTTCCTATACAGTCAGCCCTGCACAGTGGCACATGTAAAATCAGCCCTACATATTCTGCAAACACGCGTACGTCAGATTTGAACTGAACGGCTTTAATTGAAATTTAGTAACACAAAAGTTGCTTTCAAACACGTCATTTGCCGGTCTTGGTCGGTCCGTATAGGGAACAATCGTGGTCTTGGTCTTGAGTACAGCCCTCTACCTGCGGCCTCGGGCCGTACCCAAAACCTTGGGCACAGCTTTTACCAATACGGACCGACCACGACCGGAAAATAACATATATGTCTTACGGAAATGATTCCTTTGTTCCGTCATCCTTACAAGTATGTGTTCATTTTTAACTGATTATCTCGACATTTAATTCATTGCAAAGAACGCTGAACTGATTCTTGATCCAGAGTATACTATTTTTGATTGTTTTATTTTTAACTTCACTGAACAGGATTGAATTCACTTTTGCCTCTTGCCTGCTCCACTTTGTGTAAAAGGAAACAAAATGTCAAGGGCTGAGATGGAAAATTTTCATAATGGTAAGAGTGATATTAAGACAAAATAGTTTGAAAGATAACGATGCGAAGAAAAAAGCACGAGTATGTTAATGTAAAAATCTAACAGTATTAGAAACTAACGTTTAGCTAGCGCACCAGTTTTAGGTCCAACACGCCAACACGGCCAGGCTTTATCTCAGCTAGTTCCTTATTATTAAGTTACTAGGACGGGGTGTGACCGAGTATGGGGAGGCTGGTTCCAAAACAGTTGGCCAGTAATGGATTACGTACTTTGGCCAACCAACCGGTCCATTAACCCTAAGAGGGTATGTCAAAAAGCGAAAGTTACATACTTTGACCAATCGCGTATGAGAAATGAATACTTGAATAGAGTACGAAAGAAAAATAATTTACTCATCTTAAAAAACGTCATACTTAAAGTAGACTTGTGATATCTCTGTTTACTTTTCAAGGTTCTAATGAAAGTTTTGAACACCAAGGCGAACTCTACCAAAATCGAATTCCTCTGAATCTTCGGGTTGGAATGACACTCGCCTACGTCATCATCTTTGTCATCTCCTTAGTTGGAAATATACTGTTGATCTACGTCACTTTTAAGACACCGCACTTGAAGACAACCACAAATCTCTTGGTGGCCAACATGGCTGTTGCCGATTTGATGATAACTTTCTTTGCCATGCCATATTGCGTCATGTACCTCTACCTACAGAACATCTGGATTTCTGGGAGAATCGGTGATATTACGTGCAAAATCACTCAATATTCGCTGGCTCTGTCAATCGCTGCTTCGATTCTCACACACGTGTTAATCACGATCGATCGCTTCTTTTGCATAGTGTTACCTTTCAAACGCACCCCATTTGTCAAAAAATCAAAAAGAGGTTATTATTTCATTTGGTGCAGCTCTTTCGTTCTTATGAGCCCGTATCTGGTCGTTTACGGAAGCGTGCCTCTTCAGGATGGATATAGTTACTGCGCAGTGAAGTACGAGCATTTTCGCACCCTCCAGATTTATTTCTGTCTCGTGTTCATACTTCTCTACATTATTCCACTGCTGTTCATTGCAACGTTGTACACGTTTGTTTGTCGAAAGCTATGGAGGCACAAGGTGCCTGGCATTCACACGCTTACATCAATTCCCAATAGGGAAGCCCATAACAGGAAAACTGTCAAAATGCTCATCATACTTGTCACTGCGTTTGCATTATGTTGGCTTCCCGCGCATGTCATGCATCTGTTGATGTACTTCTGGCCCGATCAAGCCCTACCTCTCGAGGCCATCTTGTTATCGTTTTGGGCTTGTCACTCACACAGCGCAATCAACCCGCTTTTGGTCGCGTTTCTGAGTGAATTATATCGAAAGGCGTGTCGCAAAGTATGTAAAAATCACCGGAAAAAGGCTTGTCCTTTTTCGCGTAATAATACTAAAGAAACTAACGTGAGGCTTGTTACATTGTGACTTAATAATGACGTCAACTCCGCGACCGATGATGATGATGACGACTGCAGTGATGATKATGATGAKGAKGAGGAGGAGGAGGAGGATTAGAGTGGTTTTCAATAGACCCTTTTAGAGTTGTCTGTTCAGTAACCTGGCCTTTGGATGGYAGCGAGGCTGGAGGTGACCTTGTTTTGATACAGACCTCACTGTTTTTGTTGTGTAAATCAAGTTGTTCTTAAGCTAATTAGTTTGCATTTACATAAGAAAAGCAGAGAGGTCTGTATCAAAGCAAGGTCACCTCCAGCCTCGCTTACAGTCAGAGGCCAGGTGACTAAGCACACAACTGTAAAATGGCCTATTGAGAGTCGTAAAACCAAAACCAAACCAACTAAACCAGTCAGCCAATCTCACACCGTAGTAAAACCGTTTCTGAGTGGATTATATCGAAAGGCGTGTCGCAAAGTATTTAAAAATCACCGGAAAAAGACTTGTCCTTTTTTGCGTAATAGTACTAAAGAAACTAACGTGAAGCTTGTTGCTTTGTGGCTTAATAATGACGTCGACTCCGAGAATGATGATGATGATGATGATGATGATGATGATGATCATGATCATGATTACGATGATGATGATGAGGAGGAGAAGAAGGATTAGAGCGGTTTTCAACTGAGAGTCGTAAAACCAAAATCAAACCAACTAAACCACTCAGCTAATCTCACACCATAGTAAAACCGAAACTATAACCAAAACCAAAGTGATTCCCTGATTACTTTTGACACTCAATTAAAAACTGCTCTATCCAGCAATGCCGCTGATTACAAAGACGCTTGTACTGATAATGGTGATGATGGTAATATTGTTTTATACCTAAAGGAAAAAAGTCGTTTTTTACACCTGATTCAGCAGACTACGTCTATATCTTGTGATTTCGATAAACTTTTATTTCTTGTTTACCCGGGTCTGTTAATTACTATATGTCGTTCATGTATGATTCGCAGCAACGTAGAAGGCAACCAATGGTTAAGGTTTGGACGGCAGAGCTCGTTTGTTATTAATTAAGCGACGAAGTAACAACGATGTAACCAATTTTTTAAAGATAATCGACGCTAAGCAGGGGGGTTGATAGATTTGAGGCAATGTTTAGAAAACCTAATCAATTATCAAAAATGAAAAGCTATATAGACCCTTGTCACAAAAACAGCGCCTCGTTCCATTGCCTGGGCGAAATTTAGCCTCCTGTAACCAGATCGCCTCTGATAGGTTTGGCGTACATTTCGCGAGGCAAATCTGCAGCCGCGAGCAATGAGAGGGGGCTGCGTTGTTAGGTAAGACAAAATTCAAACCGAAACCTCAATACCCAGGGGGATGTAATGTTGTTGTACCCCGGGGTTACGCCCATATATGGGCTATATAGGTATGTGTTGCAAGATAGGGTAGGGTTTTTGAAGTTCTCGATCCTATAGGGTATAGGGTATTATTATTGCCCCTGTTGGCATGTGTTCCCAGTGTGATCCTTAGATAGGCTACTTAAATTGCATCAGCTAAAAGTACAGTGCGTAAATGCCCAGCTAAAAGGGAAACAAATGATCTGTTAAAATTGAACTATTCGTAAACTTCCAATGTTACAGAAACGAAATAAAGTTCAACCGTTCATGCTATTATAGTCTTTTTTTGTTGTTGTTATAAGGTGTCATTTTTTTGTATTTTGCCCTTAAATAAGGTATCAGTTTTAATTCGCTTCATCTATATAGGGTCGAGCTTTAAGACCCAAACCTGTGTGAATTTTACGGAAGTACCCCGCCCCCGGTGTTGTTGTTCGCAGGTATTAAACAAACAATTAGAGAAACGGTACGGGACAACGTCATCAGCATGAGATTTCTGGGTCGAATCTACCGAGTTGAGTAAAGGTATGGGTGGACGATTGTAAAAGGAATAATTTAAAGACTTCACCTTTTTTTTTTCGCCCGGGCATTTAGCACGGAGATAAAACCCCGAAGTGCTTGTGCTGTATTTGGGTCGCATACATGTACTGCTTCTCGGAAAGAAGAAAGTAGTATAGCAACAAACCCGTTTCCTCATAAATCTTGAAAAGTAGTGTTTATAAAAGGAGAGTTTCAAAATAGAGGTTCCAATCAGAGGGTGGCCTACTAACATTTCTTAATTACAATAAACGAGGGAACGAAATATTGAATGCTTCAACAGTTTTCAAAAACGGTACTTGTCATTTTGAAGTAAACTATTTTATAACAAACAAAAACATCGACGCATATATTTTAAAGGACATTTCTACATCCTTTATTGCCACTTTCAGTTAACAACTAAACAAGTCATTGAGGATAATATTTTGATCAGTAGTATTTGATGAAGACATCAACGCAGACACGACCTTGATTATCATGGTCATTCTTGTTTTTGAGATCCTCTCCGCACCAGATTCGGAGCTCCCGATGTTTCTCGAGGTTAAACGGAACACCCAAGTTGGAGAACACGAGCTCGTTAGAATAGGACTCGTCTACCCCTGGCATGGCGTACCACAGGGTGTTCCAGTCCTTGATGAACTCGCTCCTTGGGTAGATAATCTGGTTTTTCTGGTCTGTTATGATAATGTTCAGGGGGGTCTTGCTGCCCGAATGGCATCCCCAGCGGCTATTGTAGGCTTTGTTTTGGGTGCAGCTGAAATAAAAAGCAGAGCACAACTAAGCTTACTTTGTTATCCAGAAAGAAGTTACTTTGTTTATTAATGAAAGTTTCGTTTATTGTTAACCCGCGCAAAGAGGAAATTGATTTGGGTTACAGTGAACATTGTATCCGAAATTATGATCTCCACTGAAATAAGGCGAGAAGATACACGAAAAAATAAAAGAGCTGCTTAATGACGGCTCAGATATCATAAGAATGAATTGATTGAACAGTCTGAAGGCTCCCTCACAACAAACAAATTACACAAGGATGTCCACTTTAAGCCCTTTGCATACAAATAAACTGAGCTATTTTCCTTGTCTTTTCTTGAAACGCGAAGTTGTAACTCGTAATCTTTTAATAGGCCAATTTCGATATATTTAATTTCTAACTTGGCTCCCCAGCTCAAGGAGATAAAGCACATCGAAGTTTAGGGATTAATAAATAAGCCTCGGAATTAAGTGAGAATTTTTTAAAATATATCGAGATTGGCCTTTGCGCTCGACGCCAAACTAGTGACAAAACAAATTCAATCTACCGTATCGCTCCTTCTCTGTGCACCAGTTTCATGGCGGCCACTAAATGGGATTCGGAGAGGAAGTTTGGTATGGCCCCATAACGGTCGCCAGTGCACTCAAGGCACACCTGTCGTAGGTTCAACTGAGACCACTCAAACGTCTTGTTACCTTGGCAACATCAAGATATCACATAAATGCATTAGCTAGAATATTTATGTGTGAATAGCACTGAATTTTCCTTTTGTCGTTTAGCATTAGGAATCTAAGGGCGTGTTCCTTATTCAGATCCATCTTGTTTCATTGCGGAAAAACATGGCGGGGTTTTACTTCCTTAATGTGATTATCAACTTGTTAACCTGAACCAAACCTAGATTGATATGGTTTAAAACGGTGGCAAGAGTCCTTTAGCACACTCAAATTTTTAACTAGTTACATAACTTTTTAAAAATGTGATCGGCTTGAGATTCTGATTTTTCAAACAAGGCTGGCAAACCCTAGAATTTTATGCCACAATTTTTTGCACACAATTCTGATCCCTTACATGTTCAACTTCTGAAAACGCGAACGAACTCGAAGTATCAATTCAGCAACCCCTGGAGGCCACAATCATTGATGTTGTTTTTTTCCATGCCAACAAGGAGAAAGTCTGGTGACCGCGTTTTCATTGAAAAATGGTTGTTGGAAACGTGATTAATTGAAAACAAAAATTACAAGGGCTTTTTCTAACAGAGCACGGCCCGGTGCAAAAATGAGCCATCGTCAAATAAATTATATCAGTTATGATTGACTAAATATTGCTATATTCTCACATTCTAGTCCGGCAAAATGGTTGTGTATAAAGCAAAAAAACTTAAGTCTGTAATCTTCTTCGAAAGATAACTATGGCTCAAAAGTTAAACTAAGTCTTGTACTTACTTAATTGCTGGGTAAGGGATGGAACTATAACAGCCACCAAAACTAGCGGCAACAGCATTTTTCAATCCGGATCAGCTTGTTTCCTAACTGTGAATGCAGAATCTGTCGTATTGAATGGAGCAGAAAAACAGCTGTATCTTTTTTAAAGACCATTTTTAATTTAGATTGATGACAATTTTAATTAAAGGTAACTAAATATTTTCATATCACTCAAGGCCACAATGCAATGTTAACTATTAACTTAAAAATGTTTGTTCTGACTTTGCCAAGAAAAGTTTGAATTACGCAAAATCATGTCACAGTACAAGCAACAATTATTGACGGACATAGACAATTGATTCTTTTATGTGTTTTAGTTCTTGGACTGATCGGGTAATTTTTTATTTCCTCTCGAAAACGAATTGTCTGAAAAACATAGGACAAAGTTAAACACTTCAAAAGTTATCTCGTTTTTAATTTAAGCTGTGTGATTTTTAAATGAAAATTGTTGCTTTCTCGCCTGTCATAGGCAATTGTTTGGGGAAATTAATGTTTTATATATTAGTTAATTTCCAGTTCCAACAAGTTGGGTAAATATGTTCAAAATTGTCATAAGAACTGATTAAAAATTAAACACGCGGCGTTATCTTGCCTATCTTTGTTCATGGATTCTCAACGCATGAGAAAATTGTCTTGTCTTTGTTTCACTTTACAATATGGTACCTGAAAGCTATTGTAGGGCCCTGGGTCTCCGAGTGGGGCGAAAGGGGAGATCTTGGCAGTGACGTCCCGCTGAGTTCTTCTAATCATGACTCATTTTAGACCAAAACAAATGCACGTCATCGTCAATACCTATATTATAGAAATCGAGCCATATTCTCTTTTGGTTATGTCCCTTTTCTGAAGATAAAACGTCCCACAAAAATTTAGGAGATAAATACATTGATTTTGTGTGTATAATCACTTGAGAGCTTTTTTGATCAAAGTGCCATCTGGGCATATCTCGAGTAACGTCTTTTCTCGTCATACAGAGCGTACTTTCGATCAGCTTTATCCCAAGCGCCAAGTGCACCGCATGCAGGTCCAAGCACAACATCAGGTTTTCTAAGAACACACGGTATATCAACAGGATACGTTTTAAAGAAACGGGCTGTTATACTGAGTCACGGAGCCTCCAGGCGTCCTGTTTGCCGTGAAAATTTTCGGAAAAAAACTAACGCAGCGAACTTTTTTTCCTTGATTAAGTAGACTTTGGGATATTCTCACCGCGATTTATACACCTTCCAATGTGGTACGAGTAAAATAGATTGACAAATAAGAATTCATTGCATGCATACTCCTTATAACAGCTTAATTGGCTTTCAGCAGTCACAACCACTGTTATCAAAACGTAATCTTCCACAATACGTACGTCGTGTTGTTTTTAGTTCGTACTATGAAAATCGCCGAATCGTGGTATGGTATATTTTTGTACAACGACCACTCCCACTTTCATTTGTTGACCCGCCAACTTTCCTTCGTGTTATTGTAAGTTGGCTTTCTTGAATGTTGGCTAACTCGGTTCAAAGTGAAGGTAGGGAATGAGAATAAAGCGGATCAATGAATGAGTTAAAAATAATTACTTCTATTTACTTATATCACATTTACCCGCTTCTTTCCCTTTCCCCACCTTTAATTTGAACTTCGCTGACGGTGAATTCACAATAAGCTAAAGGGAGTGTGGGCGAGTGAGCAAAAGAAAGTGAGAATGGTCACTGTACAAAAATTCTAGCTTATTTCACGGTTTAGAGATTTCATAGTAGCAAAGCAAGCGACAATCGGAGGGAACTGTTTCTTTTAATTATAAGCACCCCTCTTACAGCCCTAGCTCAAATTAGCTGAACGTGGGAAATATGCTAACAAATATGCAAAAGAGTAAGTGACAAGAAACACAGTCTACAAATCTCACTGTAACCATGGTTACACGAGAAAAAAGCTATATTTCATTTCAGATGGTTTTTCAAGTTGTGTGTTGTACGTCGGTTTCAGAGTCGACGTCCATCTTCGTCCGGACCAAGTTTTGTGTAGTGTCGTCGAGTCCTGTTTTGAGGCCCCATAAGGGGTTTTAGGGATAAGAGATATTTAGATAGGAAAAAAAAAAAGATACAGGATATTCAAGGAAAATTAATAGGATATAAAATATCTGGCCAAGATAAAACGGGATAGCGGGTACGAAAATCGTACATTTTTGCAATTTAAGTTAAAACTTGATACGGGATATATAGGCCAAAATTAACAAGATGAGGACTACTTGGAGCCCCCTCCCCCTAATGGGGTCTCTGATTGAGGGTTGACGGGTTTTGTGGGGACGTCAACTTTTGTATTGACGCCACCTTTCTTACGGACGTCAAGTTTTAATTGGATGTCAAGTTTTCTGTGGACATTACAGATTTGTTTGGAAGTTTTAAAAATTTAGAGTAGAAGTCGGGTTTTGTGTGGACGTTAAGTTCTGGGCTGACGTCAAGTTTCGTGTGGTAACTAAGTTTTTGTGTAAATGTCAAGTTTAGTGTACACCTTAGATCTTGCACCAAGCCTAGTTTTGAAGCGGAGGTTAAAATATACTCGGAAATGGCCATTTAGTACACAAAAGAGCACATTTTATACAGTTGGACATTATTGCCATGGTGAAACTTTTGTTCTGTCAATAGCTTAGTTTTAAACCAAACAAATCAGTACTTAATTTATTTTGAGTAAAATAAAACCCAGTTTGTGTGTGCACAAGGTAGATCAGTGTACCCCTTCAGTTACGTTAGTTTGTTTTAGTAATTGATATATTCTTCTCAATGCTTATTAAAACCATCTCTTTGAAGTATTTCACCACAATACAGTAAAAGGTGTCGCAGCTAATTCCAAAAGGCTCGCAATTCGAAGAAAAATTTGAAAGAACCGGATCTACTCGAAATGTTGTTGCAAGTCAGTTTGTTCGTTTTTCTAGGCAGTGCCATGGCTGCAGGTATGTTTTTAGTTACAGATATGACCTAAAACGAATCTTTAAATCTAACTTAGGATTTTACGACTTGTAAAAAGTAATTTTTTCCATAATAATGGAACATTTATAGTCTAATGGATGCCTTGAAAGACTGGTACTAATTCAGAGCTAAATCCAAAATATTAACGTGAACAGTTTATATAGTTTGATTTTCCTCGTGGGCAATAAAGTCATGGCTGAGAACTTTTGGAATTGCTAACACGGACTTCGAATTACTCACCGGAAAAACAAAGGTGCAGATTGCTTTCTATTCGACGAAGAGTCCACTCCCACAAGCGAGAAGGTTGACGACTTGACCATATTAGGGGAGAGATTGGTTCATGCAGCTATGCGTTCTAGCCTTATGGCCCATCAGGCCGGAGCTTATCTGCTGTTTCCGTAGGACGATCGAGTCATCTAGGAGTACTTTTTTCTACTCTCCCTTGAATTGGATGCCTTTCTATGGCAGGATTACCTCTAGCATTACATTAGATTTTATATAGGGACTGTCAGTAGTAAAGTGTCTCACCAAAGAACACTATGCACAGTTTATGACCCCGGCAAGGACACCAACTCGGACCGTTCGATCCAGACTCCTGCGCCCTAATCATTAGGCTGCCACAACTCCAGCAACTGAATGGAATTACACGTGAACTTAAGATTGTAGCAATAGTCGATCTTACATGCATACACCTTATTTTTCTCTTTGAAAGAAAAATCGAAGTGAGTGATGTATATTCCATGGGGGTATTCTTTGCGAGGCAAGCACAATCATTTCCTTTGAGTTAGCTGGACAAATTAAACCAGGTAAAATTCGCCTCTTGATTTTCAAAGATCAGTTCTCATACAAAAATAAAACTAACGTGAGAAAAGTAGAATGGGAAAAAAGGCATTGAGTGAATTGTAATCTGATTAGCAACGGTTAAAGTAAATATACCACTAATTAACATAAACTTTTAGAACCTGGCTTCGAGGCAGTGTAAATGTCGCTCTACTCCATATATAAAGCGACGGATTGTGACTATGGACGTTATCGAACGATATTGCCTTATGTTTTAAGATATTTAAAATTATTCCTAGCTCTGTTAAAATGCCAATCTAAGTTTTTATTGACTTATTCACAATCAAAAGGCAGTTTAAAGCTGTTGATTTGACTATTAAGAAAGTATTAATTTTGGCGCTTGAACTTTTTTGAAGTCGCCTTTCACAGGTATATGCAAGTTAGTGGGCTTAAATTGCAGAATTAACAAATTTTGATCGTTGACGATTCTCCGTGAATTCATCCGTTTTCATGACAACGCCGTCATATTGGTAACGATCTTCAACTCCCAAAATATGAGGTTATTAGTTTCTCAATAAACTCTACGTATTTACATAGCATAAAAAATATTCTTCTCTTTTGAAAAATTAATTTACGGGCGAATGAATTCTCTGTTAAATTTCATATGAAAAA